TATATATATATATATATATATATATATATTACCGGGTAGGATATGATTTTTAACCATTAAATCTTCTATTAACTTCAGTTAATTTTGATACTTTTTAATCTGCTATGATTTTGACTTAATATGACAGTTAAAGCTATGTCAAACGTATTCTAGCACACAATTCTCCTTCTTTCTCACGTAACAATATTCAAGGGTATCTTGTTGTTGTGACATTGACATGGTTGAATTTCGTCAATATTATATAGGGAATGGTGGGTCTTATCACAGACTCTACTATCACGCTTGTGGACTCATGGAAGAGCAGGATTGCCAAGGAAGGTGGAGTTGCTAACATAAAAATTGATGAAGACATGAGAAGTTTCTCCGGAGACGTTATTTCAAGAGCTTGTTTTGGGAGCAATTTCACCCAAGGACAAGCGATTTTCTTTAAATTGAGAGCTCTCCAAGAAGCCATGTCCAAAAAGTGTTTTACTTCCGGGATTCCTGGAGCAAGGTGTGTGTGTGTGTGTGTGTGTGTATACATACACACATACATATATATATATAGTACTAATTAATTGCCTGAGAAAAACCATTGTTTAATTAATTTAGTTTGAATTTTACTTTTGTTGATTTTCTCTCATATTGTATGTTTATAGGCATCTTCCCACGAAGAACAATAGAGAAGCATGGGCTCTTGAGAAGGAACTGCCCAATTTGATACTTGAAGTGGCGAGGCAGAGAAAGGAATTAGCCTCACATGAGAGGGACTTGCTTCAAATGGTTCTTGAAGGTGCGAAAAATAGTGACCTAAGTCAAGAGGCAACTGATCGTTTCATTGTTGATAACTGCAAGAACATCTACTTGGCTGGCTACGAAACAACCGCGGTCTCCGCCATTTGGTGTCTCATGTTGTTGGCCATGAATCCGGACTGGCAAGAACGAGTTCGGAAAGAGGCCGTCGAAATCTGCGGTGGTCAGAATCCTGATTATGATATGCTTCGCAAAATGAAGCAGGTACTTTAAAAAAAAAAAAAAAAAAAAAGAGGAAAAGAAAAAAAAATACTATCCTTTTTATAGGGTTGGGTCCTCACATGTGGAATCACCCCAAATTTCTGAGTCATGCCTCACTTACACTGCTTCAAAACAAAGAACGAATGTCATCTCTCATGAAAATTAAAATAACACTCAACTTATTTTTTTATCTAAAATTTTAGATTTTATCGACGTACTTAATTTTCAAGATGATTAAGGCAACTGCCATTTTTTTTTTTTTTTGAAAGAAAAAGTGATATTGTTTTTTACTTGCATAAATAATTATAAATTTCACAAATAAAGTCTAAAGCATGATTTTTTTTTTTTTTTTTTTTGGCCGCGCAGTTGACTATGGTCATTCATGAAGCGTTGAGGCTGTATCCCCCGGTGACAGTGGTATCAAGAGAGGCTTTCAAGGACATGAGATTTGGTAACATTTTTGTACCCAAGGGTGTCAACATTTGGACGTTGGTTTTGGCTCACCATACAGACCCAGAAATATGGGGACCAGATTCATACAAGTTCAACCCAGAGAGATTCTCAAACGGAATCACTGGCGCTTGCAAGCTTCCACACCTTTACATGCCTTTTGGGGTGGGCCCCAGGATCTGTCTTGGACAGAACTTGGCCATTGTGGAGCTCAAGATACTTTTGGCTCTCATTCTCTCCAGATTCTCCTTCACCCTCTCTCCAAATTATGTCCACAAACCAGTCATAAGCTTGGTCATTGAGCCTAAAAATGGAGTGGATCTCTTGGTCAGAGAGTTGTGCATGAGCCAAGAAAATAAGAGAAAGTAGAGCACAGGATTTAATTCTTTGCTCTCTTTAGAACTTTCATGTGGAATTGTCTTGGTTCCTTGTTTTCCTTCTGTTTAAATAGTAATATGTTGTCGTTACTACTCTACCTTTTTGTCGTTGGACCCTCATCAGTACCTTTTTTTTTGTATCTTTATCACTGTACGTGTACAAAGCTTGATTATACGCTCACACATATGAATATACGTATCCCTTGCTAAATAGTGCTCTACATACCGCGCAAGTTTGCGGCGCATCAAACTTGAGAGAGAAACTGAGAGGGGGATTATTTAGAATATAATATAGCTTCACTGACAAAACCTCTCTCATTACAAATCCCTTATCAAGCGAACGACACTTCGTTTATCGTGGAAAATATGTTGATTCTGAAGAAAGCACAAACGACATATCGTTTCTTACTTCATGTCATTCCACCTGAACATGGCGACATGACATTTTCCGAATGGACATTGAAAACCGACACACTAACGGCATGTTGTCTTCATGTCGTTTTCCTCCAGAAAATAAGTTATATGTCGTTTAACTTGAAAGGAACTGCATGTCGTTTCACCTGCAAATATGTACGAGATATCGTTTTCCTTGAAATACGTACTTAGGGCAATTGCCTTTGCCTCAATTCCTTTCTCCTGACCTGGAGAGATAAAACGACGACAAGAACTATACGTTTTCCGTCGCTTTAACTTTTTGCCCAAAGAATGAAACTGTCGTTCGCAGTCGCACCTAAACCACTTTTCGTCATATTTGTTCCAAGTTATTGTGTCAACCCAACACAAATTTTTTACTTATTATTTGTTTGATAAAGAAGAATCGTGATTCGTAATTAGTATTTTTTTCAATAAAAAAATACACATAAATTAAAAATAAATTTAAATTATAATTTTAAATCTGTGAATTAAACGTTCATTAAAAATGCATATTAAGACAAAATCATTACGCAACAAAAAGAGTTAGAGCGGGTCCCAGGAGCCATTTACATCCCTTAATCAATCATTTTCAAATCTAAACCATGTCATTACGCAAAGAAATGTCTCTTAAAAAGTTAAAACCCATCAAAGCACGAAAGCTCGGGCATAGACAATGGACTTCTTTCAGTCACTCTCATGGTTTGATTGGACTCAGAATAGCCAAGCCCAACGCTTAGCCCGTTACGAGAGAGGGCTCAAGTCAGGTCCAAAAAGGCAATAAAACCATGATTAGCTGTGCAGGTAGTTTTACATGTCGGCTTTTAGCGTCAATGGTATCTTAACCGTTGGCTAGTTAGCAACGAAAGATTACAAAGAACCGCTAAGGAAAAAAGATTCCAATCTCTGTCTGACTTTATGTTGTTGTTTAGCGTAAAAAGAAAAACGACTATTGTCGATAATAACTCGTGTTTAGAAGAAGATTGATTTGCTGAGCTCAGAAAGCTTCCACATTGCTCTCTCTGTTTTTTGTATTATCACCTACATCTGAGGGCAGAGGCAGTGCTTACACGTCCCCCATGGCGGCAGCAGCCAATATTCCTCTGCTTCAAGCCAACAGGCTCAGACCCACTATCTCATTTTCTTCTTCTTCGCACCCCATTAGACAAAAAGGTAAAATAATTGCTTAAAAAAAAAGGAATTACTAATAAACGTTTTTTTTTTTCTTTTTTGGGGTTTCTTATTATTATTTTTTTTTGTGGGTGTTGAAGGGATAATTACATGTGCGTCTTCAAATGGGAGAGAGCCGGATTCAGTGGATAGTGAAGTGAAGAAGGTTGAGCGGATTCTCGGAGAGAAAAGGCGAGCTCGGCTCTCTACTCGGATTGCCTCCGGAGAATTCACTGTTAAACAATCTGGGTATCTTCAATTCTTCAGTTTTTTTTTCCTGGGAAAGTTTCATTTTTATTAATCATCAAAAAATTTTCCTGCGTGATTTTGACCAACATTTTCTTTTTCCTTTTCCTTTTGTGGGTTTGCTTTAATTTTTGGGTGTATAAATTCATAATTAGTAGCAAAATGAGAAGGTTTACAGAATTCCTTTCGGTTATACTGGGTGCGTTTGGAAAATAAAAACGTCTTTTGAAAACCGTATTTAATTAATAAATATTTTGAAAATGAAAAAAACAAAAAAACAGTAAAAATTATTTTTTTATTTTCTAATACTTATTAATAATGTTATAATATATTAATTAATAATTATAATTAAACGCAATTTTATTTTTTATTATATTTAAAATAATATTTTAAAAGATCAATTCAAAACAATCTCATTTTATTTTTATACTTGAAAATAAAATCTTTTTTGAAATGGTTACCAAACGGGCCCATTGTATTTGTACTTACATATTTTGGTTGTTGTAACAAGCTTTCCATCTCAACTGAGGAATGGTTTGTCGAAGTTGGGAGTTCCAAGAGAGGGTCTGGACTTGTTGTTTAGTTGGGCTGCTGATGGCAATGGAGACTATCCGAAGATTCCCGAGGCAAGAGGGTCTATTAAAGCTGTCCAAAGTGAGGCCTTCTTTATCCCCTTGTATGAGCTTTATCTATCTTATGGTGGAATTTTCAGGTTGAACTTCGGACCCAAGGTTGGTCTTTTTCACATTTGAATCTTCACAAACACACAAGCACACAATGCAAATTCATGGGTCACTTTGTGCTTTTGATTAGTGACTTGCTATTTCTGTTTCAGTCTTTTTTGATAGTGTCTGATCCTTCCATTGCCAAACATATACTGAAGGATAATTCAAAGGCATATTCAAAGGTAATCCAGTGATATTTTTTACCTCTCCCTATCTAGTATCTACTCCAACTCTCTCTCTCTCTCTCTCTCTCTCTATAATGGTTTTTGAATTATTTGCAGGGTATATTGGCTGAAATTCTAGAATTTGTCATGGGGAAGGGACTTATCCCGGCTGATGGGGAAATATGGCGTGTTCGAAGGCGTGCTATAGTTCCGGCATTGCATATGAAGGTACTTAGTTGTTTTGGTTGAAGTCATTGTTTCTAAAGTCAACGGTTTAAGCAGAGATATCAACGAAAAATAAAATGCTCAGACGGAGAAAATTCATTTTTCATAATTGGAAGTTAGCATAAAAGTTGGTAAATGTAACACCCGAAATGGATAGGAAAAATATCCTAAAAAAATGATAGGAAATAAAAAAAATGAAAGCAGAAGAAAGTAGTTGAGACAATGTGTAAGAGGCAATAGGAATAATGCCTTCAAATATGCATCTGCCTGTGGGACATAACAAGAAAGTTCTACAAGATTTTGAAACAAACTTTATCTTTAGGCAATTTCTGAGGCGAGGCTACCTTAGGTGTAATCGAAGCAGGTTATAAAATATTCTCTTTACAAACTTGTCTAAATTGACCAACTCTCTCTCTCTCTCTTGTATGTAGTATGTAGCAGCCATGATCAATCTCTTTGGACAAGCTTCAGATAGGCTTTGTCAGAAACTAGATGCTGCTGCAAGTGATGGGGAAGATGTCGAGATGGAGTCACTTTTTTCCCGTCTGACATTAGATATTATTGGCAAGGCAGTTTTCAATTATGAATTTGATTCATTGACAAATGATGCTGGGATAGTTGAGGTATTTATTTTTCCCTCCATTGGTTTTCATTTCTTTTTTCTTCTTTTCTTTTTTTTTTTTTGTTCAAGTTTGTTACGGTTTCTGTGGCACTATCATCATTGATGCTTTCTTTGAGTTGTTTTACAAATTTCTATGTTTATATATTGGCTAGAGCAGGCGGTTTATACCGTTCTAAGAGAAGCAGAATATCGCAGTACCGCACCCATTCCATTCTGGGAGATTCCAATATGGAAAGACATATCACCAAAACAGAAGAAGGTCTCTGCAGCCCTCAAATTAATCAATGACACACTTGATAATATGATCAAAATATGCAAGGTAAAATGCTGAGTTGCCGACCTGTCAAAGCAATATTAGATTCTACCTTTTCAATTTCTAGTGCATATATGTGCCAAATTATTTGTGTACTTTTGAAAGGCCAATGCTTATGAGGTGAGGTCTGTTCAAATTACTTGGTATAATCAAGGTGGAAAGGGCAAATCAAAGCTTAGTTGCAATGTCGTGTTTTATTCTTTTATATATATATATATATATATATATATACATATATACATATATATACACACACACACACACACACACATATATATATATTGGCTGAACTGGATGATGCATCGAACTGCATATCCTTGTCTCATTTAAACAAATTTTCTTCTCTTCATTACCGCTAACATAAGTAACTATATCTTGTTTTTGCATCTGCAGAGGATGGTTGATGAAGAAGAACTGCAATTTGAGGAGGAATACGTGAATGAACGGGATCCTAGTATTCTTCATTTCCTTTTGGCCTCGGGAGATGATGTGTGTTCTTTTTTTCTTTCTTTTTGGGTTTATAGTGATGTATGTTTCTAGAAACCATAACCTGGTCCTATTAGAGTGCAGATTTCAAAGCTTTTCTCACATTTGTTTGTAGGTTTCCAGCAAGCAGCTCCGTGATGACTTGATGACTATGCTTATAGCAGGGCATGAAACGTCAGCTGCAGTTTTAACGTGGACCTTTTATCTTCTCTCCAAGGTAATCCGGAACCGCAGCTATTAAAGTGCTTATTATCTTTCCTGTGGTGATATGATTCTGCTTCTTTCTTCTCTCGTGTGCAAATGATTTTTTAACTGAACATACTTCTTGAAAAGTGTTCTTATCACAATGAGTCTAAAAAATGCATCATCTTTTATTGCTGTAGTTTTCTAGTAAATATACATTCCCATGCAATGTCCCCTTATATTTTCTTTTTGATTGGCTGCAGGAGCCTCGAGTCGTATCAAAGCTCCAAGAAGAGGTATGCTCAAATTTTCAGGAATCCAAAGCTGTATCAATGAATCGACTCAGTTCACAGTATTGTATCTCAAGATTTAATTTCTTTCCTTATTTAGTCCTTTTTTCTTTTCACCCCATTTTAGGTCGACTCAGTTTTGGGAGATCGATTTCCAACTATTGAGGACATGAAGAAACTCAAGTATGCGACCCGGGTGATCAATGAAGTTAGTTGACGATTTTTCATCTTACTGATTTCTCATAGATGGCCATCGTTGTAATCATGAACTCAATTTTGACGTCTTTTCTCCTTCCTTTCCTCACAATAACTACAGTCCCTAAGGCTTTATCCGCAACCACCGGTATTAATCCGCCGCTCTATTGAGGATGACACGCTTGGTCAATACCCTATAAAAAGGTTATTTTCTTTATATAGATTTCCCTCTAGTGTTTTCTTAACCCCTTGTTTGGCCTTCCTGTATATAAAGACTTCTGAATGTTTGATGGGAAGAAAACTGATTTAGGGAAATTTATAAACAATATTGATTGCTTTTCATCTACAGGGGTGAGGACGTATTTATTTCAGTTTGGAATCTGCATCGCAGTCCAAGTCTTTGGGAAAATGCAGATAAGTTTATACCAGAAAGATGGCCCTTAGATGGACCAAATCCAAATGAGACAAATCAAAACTTCAGGTACATAATTTCATTTCTCTTTCTGCTTGTTTGGTGAATTAGACTAAAGTTGTCATGAGACTCATTTTTTTCCGCCCTCCTCTTGCAGCTATTTGCCATTCGGGGGCGGACCACGGAAGTGCGTCGGTGACATGTTTGCTTCCTATGAGGTAACTATTTTTCTTGAAAGTAATCACAACTTTCGGATCTTGAACTTTTTAACTTGCTGCATGCATATAAGTCGACCAAAGTTCTGAACTTTTCTGTTTTACAGACTGTAGTGGCACTTGCAATGCTTGTCCGCAGATTTAACTTCCAAATGGCGGTTGGAGCTCCTGAAGTAAGTTGTGGACTTGTGGTTGAACCTGGTGATAAAGTGCCGAACTTTCGAACTGTTTTTCAATATCAAGAATGATTCTCTGTGCAGGTAAATATGACTACGGGAGCAACAATTCACACGACGGAAGGACTGAAGATGACGGTCTCCAGAAGAGTAAAACCTCCGATAGTGCCGACGTTGGGGACGCCGATGTTGAAGTTAGATTCATCTGCTGGTGTTTCTGATAATGATCCTCTACTTAGTGAGACGGGCGAAGTTTCCGCTGCACATTCCTGATGCAAACCTTCAGCTACAATCTACATGTAGTATAGAATGCTAAAATGTTCAATCAAAAAAGAAAAAGAAAAAAAAAAAGAACACTCGAATGTGACATTCTTCAGCTGGGAAGCTCATATAAAAAAAAAAAAAAGAAGTAATTGATAAAATTACGTTGCAAGATTCTTCTCTCTGTGGTCTTTAACAACTAATGCAGCTGTACCGGCAAAGAGTGCAGTCAGTTATTGTATATTTCACGAAAATGGCAATGTAGAAAGAAAATGTAAAACAAGTCATGGGCTGATGGAAAGATGTTAATAGAAGACAAAAGTTATTATTATAAACACAACTCATGCTCAATTAACTGTTATATACATAATTAAGTCCCTGAAAAAAAAAATTTCTCTCTCTCTCTTCTTGCGGTGATTCAAGACTCCAGTCAAAATAAAAGAAAATAGATGAGAAAGAGAGAAAATACAGTATATTCGGCTAAAAGACTCCTGTCAAAATAAAAGAAAATAGATGAGAAAGAGAGAAAATACAATATATTCGGCTAAGGGTGCGTTTGGTAGTGCTTCTTAGAGCTTAAAATCTCTCTCTTCTTGCGGTGATTCAAGACTCCTGTCAAAATAAAATAAAAAATAGATGAGAAAGAGAGAAAATACAGTATATTCGGCTAAAAGACCCCTGTCAAAATAAAAGAAAATAGATGAGAAAGAGAGAAAATACAGTATATTCGGCTAAAAGACCCCTGTCAAAATAAAAGAAAATAGATGAGAAAGAGAGAAAATACAGTATATTCGGCTAAGGGTGCATTTGGTAGTGCTTCTTAGAGCTTAAAATCTCTCTCTTCTTGCGGTGATTCAAGACTCCTGTCAAAATAAAAGAAAATAGATGAGAAAGAGAGAAAATACAGTATATTCGGCTAGAGGTGCGTTTGGTAGTACTTCTTAGAGCTTAAAATCACTTCTTTAGCCATCAAAAATTGATAATGGTGTTTGGTAAAAACTATAAAAAGTGATTTTTAAAGAGTTTTTGAAGAACCTACAGTCAAAATCAGAAGCGGCTCAAAGATAACTTTGACTTTTAGATTATACGGGAATCAATACAATTAATGATTATCAACAAAATTATATTAAATAATTAATTATTAATTACTAATTATATTATATATTAATTAATAATTAATAAATAGATATACTTAATAACTAATAAATAGATAGTAATTGTCAAAATTATGTTAATAAAATAATGTGTTTTAAATTGTGTTTTTAATTTTGTTAATAAAATAATAAATAATATATAAATTATTTATTTAGTTATATGTAATATATTAATCAATAATATGTAATATATTAATCAATAATATGTAATATATTAATCAATAATAATTAATAATTGATAATTAGTAATTAATCATTGTAAAAAGAATAATTACCAAAAATTGATCATGTGATATATCAAATAATAGATTATTAAATAAATATTAATAATTAATTAACTACTTATTTAATTATATAACTAAAAGTTAATAATTTAAGTAGTAAAAGGAATATTAATAAATTATGTATATACTAATTATTTTTTCATAATACACTAATTAATTAATTATGATCTAATAAATATGAGTACATTCCTAACATAGTAATTATTTAGCATATTAATTTATTATATATATAGTTTAATTATTAATGTACTCATTAATGATCATTTATCTATTATTGTTATATTATTAATATATTAATTTTTATTTGCTAAATAATTATCAATTATTAATTACTTTATATATTAATTTAAGATTATTAATTACGGTCATCTTAACTACCCACATCAATCCAACCTCACAATTTACCAAATGCTATTATACTGCTTTTGGAACCAGCAACACTTGTGTAATTACAGTTTACCAAACACTCAACTATTTTTTATAACAACTACTTTTTTTCTTCAACACAACTAAAAACAATTTTTTCAAAATCTATAACATTACTAAACTGGCCTAAGTCTCATCTCCAATGCAAATAAGGGAGTGTAAGCGACTGAAATTTAAGAAACGTCAGAGTTCCTATGTTGTTGTATCGTATGCATTTATTCCTTAGATGTATGTTGTCGTATCCGCATTCATTGTCGTTTTATTTCGATGTCGTATTTAAACGAACAGGTCGTTGTCCGTTTATTGCCTTTTTTATTCGTTCTCGTTTTGTTTTGATCTGGTGTAATCTACTGTCGTTTTCATATGATCTTGGTGTCGTTTTCAAAATCATAAATGTGAATTTCCAAATATGTCCTGCGTCGCAGTTATATTATGTGGGAAATTCCGTATATATCTTTCCATCGAGTGTTTGTTACAATGCGAGTAGCAGCGAGGCCCCTTGTTCATCTCCTTCCCTCCGAATCCTTCCACCGAAGCAAAAACGCCAACTTTATTATCACTCCTCGATTCTGCTCTTCCTTTCCCTCCAAAACCCTTCTCCTAACTAAACTCCGAAGCGAAAGCCTAACTTCTCTCTCACCTCGCCGAGCAATGGCGGCCCCGGCGTGTTCACCGCCGTCCGTACAAGTCAGGGAGAAAATCGAGCCCACAGTCACCGAGGCTGCGATTTTCGAAAGGCTTCTCAAAACTCTCGACCACTTCGGCCTCCAAAACCAGCTCCGAGTGGCTGGCGGCTGGGTCCGCGACAAGGTCTCTCTCGCTCTCTCTCTCTCTCTCTCTCTCTCTCTCTCTATATATATATATATATATTAATATACATATATTATTGTCGAATTGCTTTCCGGTGGTTCTGTTGGGTCAGAAAGAAAATTTCTTTCTTGTTCGGTTGTACCTGGCGTTGACGGTTGGATTGTGGATTTCCAGCTTCTAGGAAAAGACTGTTACGACATTGATATTGCGCTCGACAATATGTCGGGCAGTGAATTTGTTGAGAAGGTTACAGAGTACTTGTCAGAGAATGGAGAAAAGGCACAAGGAATTGCCGTTATTCCAAGGTATAATGTGCTTTATATTTCTTTTCTGCCTTGGCGAATTCCTCGTACTCTTTTGCAGATTGATTCAATGGGCTAAAATAAAGGAATTGCTAATTTACAGTGTAAACTTATATAATTGCGTGTGTATTTTCTTCTTTAAGATAATTCTCAGGGGAAATAGGTTTTGTTTTTCCTTCCTGTATATTTTAAAAAAAAAAATTCTGGTGAATTGATTCGTTTGTGAGTAAATTTCGTTGCTGACCTTCAAAATCAGTTTCTTGAATATTATAATTTTTTTATCAATAATTATGGACTCGATAGTATTAATTATTAATTTTGCAGCAATCCTGACCAATCAAAACATTTGGAAACAGCGAGAATGCGCATATGCGATGTATGGATTGATTTTGTAAACTTAAGGTGTGAAGAGTATAGTGAGAACAGCCGCATTCCTACAAAGGTATATATTTCTCGGAGCCATAGGAGGGATGGAGAGTAGGAAGGATGGACAGAGTTGGAGAGATGGAGAGTAAGAAGGATGGACAGAGTTGGAGGGATGGAGAGGATTATAGTAATGCTTCATGTTGTTTGGGAGGATTATAGTAATGCTTCATGTTGTTTGGTATGAGTGAGGGAGAGTTGAAAGGATGTATGATAGTTGTTTGTCCAATTACTATATTGTCCATTTTATTTATTTGGTAATAATTTTTTGTATGAGTAAAATAGACTTTTAGTTTTAAAATTAGATGGATTGGTTAGATCCTTCTATTGATGGAAGGATCGGAGGGAGACTCTCTCTCCCTCCATGCCTCCTCTCCCTCCTCTCATCCATCCTACCAAACAAGGGAATTGTTCTCTCCCCTCACCTCTCTCCCTCCATCCCTCCTTCCTACCAAACACACTCCTGTATCGGTATTTTTTTGTGCATTTGGAAGTACATTCTCTGTTTTTTTTTTATATATATAGAAACGTCAGTATTTAAAATTTTGACTATCTCATTGTTGGCCACTTTCCTGGTTTTTTAGTTGATGTGGACTTAGTAAGCCTTATTAATGAAGGAAACGGTCATTGAAGTTTACTTACTTTGTGTTGCAGCAAACATATGGCACACCAGAAGAGGATGCGTACAGAAGGGATTTAACCATTAACAGGTATCCTTTTTTGGTATCAATTTGTGCAAATAAAAACTATACCCCATTCATAACTGGTCTCGGATCGAATATATTTCTGTTCCTTGCCTGATTTTATGTTATGAACACTGTCCAGCTTGTTCTACAATATCAACACCAAATCAGTTGAAGATTACACTAAAAGAGGTTAGTATTTTGTTTTATCTCAAGTTTCTTTTGACTGTTAGAAATTTTCAATAGTTTGTCCTTTTTTTTTTTTTAAACAGCGTAATTTGTAAGGGCATTCATCACATGTTTCATTTCTTTTTTCTTGCTTTTGCTTTGTTATGCAGGCATTGCAGATCTTAAATCTGGAAAAATTGTGACTCCTTTACCTCCAAAGACTACTTTTATGGATGATCCTCTACGAGTTCTAAGAGCTATCCGTTTTGGTACATGTCTTCTAAATGTTTTTTTCCCCCCTCATCATAGATAGATCGTGTTCATCTGCTTAAAGTTTTTTTGAGGCCACCCATTAGGTACTTCTGTGGCTGATGTTTCACTAGGAATTGTAATTGTTGTCGTTATTGTTGTTGCTATTATTATTTTGAAGCATCTCTTGTTTACCCAAATTTAACACGCATAGTGTTGAAGCATACATGATATTCCGCTTCCTCTTTTGCTGTTCACTTTTTGCATTCTTATTCAGTCCCCCTAAAAGTTGCTTCTTTTTTTTTTAGCTGTATACCATTATCTGAAGGGAATGAGATATTTCGTCATTACAAATAATCTAGGCAAATTATGTCTTGCACTCTTGTTTTCCAATTTCAAAATTATATATAACTGAGTAATGAATGCTTCTTAGCAAGAGGAAAGAAGACAGCCTAAGATTTTTTTAGCTTCTCTTGGCGCCAACACTTTTTACTGGCTTGTGGTTGTTTAGGTGCAAGATTTGATTTCGTACTAGATGAAAAACTGAAGGAAGCTGCAGCCAGTGATGATGTGAGAGCTGCTCTCGACGAAAAAATTAGTAGAGAGCGCATTGGTACTGAAGTATGTTGGTATCTATTATGACTCAAGTAGTAGTCTGAATGTTCATAATCACTACGTAATTTCAAGAATGCTATTTCTAGTTTATTGTGATGGAGAATTTTCAATTCTCCGGGTTTTGAAGATGCAAAGGATATCTGACGGTTTCTTTTCCTGTTTATTATTCTTACTGCAGATTGATCTCATGGTTTCTGGCAACCAACCTTTTAAAGCGATGTCCTACATTCATGATTTGAAGTTATTCTATGTTGTATTCTTTGGTCCTCCTTCTGAGCGTCCTAAGTTTGAGCCTGCAATACCAGACAGATGTGACAGGTAAGTTTCATTCATGACATTGTGTATTAGCTAGTCTCCGATATATAGCTAAGTTTTTTTTTTGTTTTTCCTTTTCTTTTCTTTTCTTTTTCCCTTGCACGTTCATGGTTGTACATTTTTCTTGTATAGACTGTGTATTGCTTACTTGGATGCTACGTGGAGCCTTATTCAGTTAGTTGGATACTCCTCCTTCACTGTGAGTGGCAAGTCCACCAAGAATAGATCTGCTTAAATAGTTTATCAATACTAGTTATCTTGATTTGTTTATAGTATTTCGTTATGGATTTTCAAATTTCAAGTTATTTCCTTTCTTTTCCTATGCGTTGAATTATTGCCGCCTTTAAACTTCAGGATGAACAGAGAAGGCTCTCTCTTTATGCTGCTATGTTCCTCCCGTTCAGAAACACTACATATATTAGTGAAGATAAAAGATCAAAAACGGTATGGTTCATTTTTCTTTTCCTTCAAAAAATGAAGGTATGCTTTCTTTTCTTTATGTAAACATCTGCATAATAGATTATGCGTGGTAGTTATCTTTTTGTCAACTTGTATTTTGCGTCATTGAATTTCTGTCATATTCCACTCTGAAGCTAAACTTCTGTTGTGTAGATTGCTGCTGTCGACTTAATTTTTCGGGGCGCACTTAAGCGAAAAGTCAGCGATTCAGAAACAGTCAGTTCAATTCTTTTGTCTGTTAGTGTTAAATTTTTAGCTTTTACATGTCTTGTCAAATTTCTGCATTATATTGATTTGTAAACATATTTTGTTGCTACAGGTTATAAACATACACAAAGCGTCGGAGAAGTTCTGGTCTTTGATTCCTTTTTTAGCATCAGATGATGACATCCAAGAAGCTAAAATTGAGTGGGCAGGAGACTTGGTTGATATCCCGGTTTCTTCAAAGTTGCGTGTATTGACAGGTATGGAGTTCTTGCTGTTGTATCAAATTATCAGTGAGCTAGAAATTCATTAATAACAGCTTCGGCATGTCTTAAAGTCCAGATTTTTTTATGAATCGCTGATCTTTCGTGTCTGATTGTGTTCAATTTACGAATCAAGCCTCTGACACATCTTTCAGGGATGCTGCTACGAGAAATCAAAGATTTCTGGCGAGTTGCGTTGCTGATATCTACTTTGTATAAAATTGATCCTACTGAGAATCTTTTAAACAAGAACTTTCAGCCGGACATGCTAAGAGACATGTTTAAAGCAGCTGAGAATAGCATTATTGAATTAGGTGAGCATAATTTTAAGCATCATCACTTTTTTATTTATTTTCAAGTACATTTATCTTTAGTCAGTTTCAATACGGTAGGAGTCTTATTATTTTTTATTATATTTTTTTTTCTTCGGAAAATAATAGTTTACTTGGTGTTGATTCTTTGCAACCTTTCTGGGATTGCTTTAGCTTTTCGATATTAAAAATGAAGTTTCGATATATCAACAGCCTCTTTTTTACTGCCCGTTTGGGATTGCTTTAGCTTTTAAGAATTGTTGTAGTGTATTTTACTGAACTTTTCGTTTATCAACTCTCTTTTCGTTGGAAGAAAGCCTTACAATCCTTGCTGCTTTTAGATGTCAAGTATTGCATTAATCTTCTCGCCAAAGATGTAGTTAATCGGATAAACATTGTACATTTGTTCTAATTCATTTTGGTATATGCAGGCCTTGAAAAAGTATGGGACGTCAAACCATTAGTCAATGGAAAGGAGATAATGAACACTTTGGAGCTAAAGTCTGGAGGACGACTTGTTGGGGAATGGGTAAGCTATATTTTCCGGCCACCTATACATAAAGATATATGTATAAGTATATATATTCCAATGCTGTATATCCTTTTGATTTGCAGCAACAAAAACTACTTAAATGGCAACTTGCTCATCCTTCGGCTACTTCAGAGGAATGTCTTAAATGGATGAGGCAAAAACGTTTAAAGACAGAGTAATTCAACACGACATATCATCTGGTATAGTGAGATATGGTACTTCTACAGTGAATGAAGATCCCTGAATTTTGCTGCCCACTGCAGCGGCAACACCTTATGTAGTGACTCCAATTTTTGGCAATTAGATAAATATTATTTTGCAAGGTTAGAATTTTAAATGTACATTTATCATAGAGCTATAAATCATTTTCAAAAAAAAAAAGTCATCCTAGTTCAGATTATAAAAGTAGACAAGTGGACCACAATTTTGAAACAGCACTTTGTCTGACATGATTTAGCTTGGTTTTCACTTTGAACGCAATGATCTCGGGTTGAAAGTGGAGAAACAGAACACAGAATAGTTGCCTTGATGCTATGTAAAAATAAATTAATTAATTAATTAAAATTTTGGATGTTAATTGATAACTAGACTACAACAAGAGAACACCGGAAAACGGAAAAATCACCCAAAAAATTTTTATTATTTAAGACCAAAACATTGCCGAACAGAAAATGGTTTTCGATGGTGCGTGGGCTCTGGTTTGCCATCAGGTCTTTTGCCAGGGAAATGTTTGTAAAAGGCTTTAACTGACCCTGTCGCCCCATCTTCATTTTCCATGGCCTTGGCGAGTTCGATGGCGCGTTCTTTCACCTGCACGAAGCAAGTAAAAACGAAAATCGTATGCCTGCTAGTTGTGGCTAAAACGCAAATGTCAAAGCAAACACATTCATATACAAATTCATGGGAAGAAAAAGAGTTCGCAGTAATTTCTACTTTCACCAGCGAAATAATGAGATAGCAGTTAAAAGTATAGTGTTCTATTTTGTTCCCCAGCGATGTCACCAAAATTGTGCTATAATGATGAGCATGACTCAGAAACCTAAGAGCCCCAACTTTCAAGGATAAAAACTGGTACCACGGAATCAATAGGGATAAGGAAAGGGGAAACGGAAGCTCCGGTATAAACAGTTCCCAATTTCACTACTCATCAACACGTCAAATGAGGGAACTATGTTTTTTTATAGGATCTAAAGAACCTATTCACCTCTGCGTATAACTTCAAAACAAATCATGTTTCACATGGCTCGGGTACACACCATCATTCAGTTGAATATTGTGGCCAGAAGATAACAGCAGAGCGAGTACCTTGGGTTCTAGCATAAAGCGTATGGCCTCAACCAATTTGTCAAGTGAGAATTCGTCAACTGGAATTGGTGCAGGACCTACTCCTCCAGCGCGCACTCTGTCTCCCCAGAATGGTTGATCTCCAAAGAAAGGTACGATTGTTGTAGGACACTAAAAAGCAGAAAGATAACCATTAAGGTGGCAAAACAATATCAAAGATGATCCCGAGAAAAAGAAAAATTAGTTACCGCAGCTTTTAGACCAGCAGCAGTAGTTCCAGCACCGCCATGATGTACCTGGGAAGAATTGTATGATTTATGATGTAAGAGGATGGAATTTGACAAAATACTGGGTCATCCCCACAAAATCACACACGCACGCACACATATTAACTGCAAAAGAAACTTTACCACAGCAGAGCAACGTGGGAATAGCCAATCATGGGGGCAATTATCCAGTAAGTAGACAAAATCCTTTGGTTCTTCCACTGATAAGAGTATGAGAATACATGCATAAGTGCCTGCTGAAGGATTCCATGTAGAAAACAAGGAGAATTGTTTCGATTAGGAAAAAGGAGCTTACAATTCCCAAGGCCACCCCAACCTTTGTTGATGATACCTCTTTGTTCAGTTATTTCCAAAGCTTGGACAATAATCTCTGTCATTTTCTCTGGTTCCTGGACAGGCTGTTACAGACAAAAGGAAACAAGTAAACCAAGCATCCCATGAGGTCCGTTCTTGCCCTACATTTGATATTTTATGTTGCAAGGAAAAACACAGGCATATCTACGGTTTCCATATGACAGTTTGTTATAACCCTTGGGTAAAACTCATTCCCAAAAGCTAACTTGTACGGAGAGGGTGCCTAAGTGGTTATAAACCCACGTACTAAGCCCATACTTTAGTAATGTGGGACTCAACTAGAATCCTAACATACCACCACGTTTCCGACACCGACGTCCACGGCGGCCCACTCTAGCCTTTCCAAGTCGCCCCTCCCCAGGTCGCCCCTTCCGCAACGTGGGCCTGAGGTGGGGCATGCTTTGATACCAATTGTTATAACCCTTGAGTAGAACTCATCCCCAAAAGCTAGCTTGTAAGGAAAGGGTGCCTAAGTGGTGATAAATCCACGTACTAAGCCCATACTTTAGTAATGTGGGACTCAACTAGGATCCTAACATAATTGTTATAACCCTTGAGTAGAACTCATCCCCAAAAGCTAGCTTGTAGGGAGAGGGTGTACAAGTGGTTATAAACCCACATGCTAAGCCCATACTTTAGCAATGTGGGACTCAACCAGGATCTTAACATATCACCACGCTTCCAACACCAACGTCCACGGCAGCCCACTCTAGATGGCCCACTCTAGTCTTCCCAGGTCGCCCCTTCCGCAACGTGAGCCTGAGGAGGAGCATGCTCTGATACCAATTGTTATAACTCTTGGGTAGAACTCATCCCCAAAAGCTAGCTTGTAGGGAGAGGGTGTACAAGTGGTTATAAACCCACATGCTAAGCCCATACTTTAGCAATGTGAGACTCAATCAGGATCCTAACATAATTTTCCGCTGAAATTGTAAATCCAAGACATAAAAAAGAATAGATGGAACAAAAGCTTACAAGGCTACCAAATCCAATATATATAGGCTTTTCCCCAGCTTCAAGCCAGCTCACTAGTGAATCAGGGGGTTCATAGCTCGAAGCAAGGTCAAGAAAGCAGAATCCAACTACGTCAATATTAGGGCCCCAATCTGCAAGAGAATGAGAATAAGACTGTTCATACGATGTCTTTCCAGTAGCAACAGCTGTAAGATTGCTTGTGATACTAAGACAAAACAGAATAAAATAAGAGACCAGATATAACGAGTATTTTTTTTTTCACCCACTGTCTGCTCGACATCTTTTTCTTTTTTATTTTTACAGAAATTCAAAGCAAGTAAGTTAATTATGCTATTTCAAAACTAATAGTGACAATTTATTATATAAGAAATGAACGACTTTGTATGATATCGTGTCAGTTCAAGCAATGTTTCAAGTGACAGAAACATAAACATAAACCTTTTGGTTTGGGAACAAGATGAGGACTCCATATGTATCCATAGGGCACATCTTGTGGAGAATAATAGGAACCACTTAAATATGTAATTGGTCTCAGCTTCAGCTTTTTCTTCCTAAAATCATTTATCATGTCTTGTATCCCTAGCCAAATTAACGAATCAACTATTTGATACGATAACTGCAAAAAAGAGAGGGAAAAAAGATTGTGGAATATAAGACTAACAGATTAAAAGGCATTTACCAGTGTAAATCATATTCAAGAAAATTTTGCGGGGAAAAACTATATGACTCACTCTATTTGCAATTGGTTGCTTAACAACACGGGATAGAGGATGGGGAAATTCACTAGTAGGTCTGACAAAAAATGAAGTGTTATTATGAAAATCATAAAATCCCAAATTAATTCGGTAATATAATAACATAAATCAGGGGGAAAAAAATACTTCCAGCACTAGGAAAATAATTCCAGATCTTAAGGGACAGACAAACTGGATAAACCTTCTAAACAAAAATGTGAAAATTTTATCGCCAGGTCATCCCAGCAAACAAACACTTACGTCCACGGCATAGTGAAAAATATATGAAGCGGTACTTTTAGAGCCTCAGCAACATGCGTGTGTCCTGAACAAGTATGTTCATGAGTTCACGGTCAGTTAAATTGTTTATATGGCTAGCAAGTACGAATAAATATTATGTATCCTAGGAATCAAGTGGAACAGTCATAAAATAAATAAATAAACAGATGAAAGCTTGCAGTCGAGGATATCAATTAATCAAAGACTCATCTTTAGTCAATAAGATGTCTATAAAACCAACATTCATCTGATAGTGCTTACAGGTCAAATATTATGTAGCATGAATATTTGTACCAGACAAAGCTATCATAAATTAAAAGTGCAAATAAAGTGATGAAATCTAACCATATGCTGGGGGATTAGCAATTATTGCATCTGCTTCAAATGGAATGTTAGTGTCCGGATCGTTGTCCTTGCATGCAGGAAGTAAAGAGGTTATGATTTCCTTAATTTGATTTCGCTGAATAGGTATTTCTGAGGGTCCGGATGGCAAAAACCCTTTGTTTTTTACCATATCTGCAGGAAATATGCCAATGAATATGAGGTAAATTATAATGGTATCCCCCTATATATCAATCAGATTGCAACGAAGCTTGTCTCTCTCAAGAATCCGAGTTCTAACTGACTCAATTTATTTAGAGAGAGAAGTGTGGAGGGAACACATTGTGCGAAAGAATGTTGACATTTCCAACTTCTGACCTGTCTTTTCAACTCTGATATATATAGAATTATTCAAGTTAACAGAGCAAAACTCCATATAGATTATTACAAGTTGTCTTCCAATTGAAAGTTAAGTTTCAAATTTTAATGGTGCACACAAACAAAATGAGGTTGAAAAACTTCAACAACTACAGCCCGATGTCAGAACACGCAAGACATCAAAAGAAAGTTTATATACAGGATTTCCATACTTACAACCAGCAAGAACTTTTGGATCTCCACCTAAAGGAAAGAACTCAAGTCCAGCGGTAAGAACAAACTCTTTGAAGTTTGCATGAGTTGCTAGCCTAACCCTATGGCCATCTTCCTGCAAGTAAAAGTTTCAAGCTCATTAGCCCACAAACACTAAGGTGCAAGGCTCCCAATCTACTAAACAATGTTTCAAGCATTCTATGAAAATAATGAAAAGTTGTGTCCAGCTAAAATTTAATCGACTCAAAAATTATCTAATTTTCCACAATCACGTTAGCCTCAGGTTCTCCTGATACAGACCCACAAACTATTATACTCAGTAATGAAGCGTCCAATTAATAGGCTCTCAAAAATTAACATTTGTGTATGTGTGTGCCTGTGCCATTTTTTTGTATATAACCTGCAAACGCTTTCCGATAGCAGCAAACGGTTGCACATCTCCTCTTGTTCCAACAATAAGCATTACAATTTGCAGTGGAGGTACGTATTTGCCTTCCACCTCCGGTGCGCCATGGCGTTCATCAACAGTTCCGTCGTAGACAACTCCAGTCCCAAAATCCAGACTCTTTGGTTTGATATCGCCCGGGACATCGAACTGCACTGTTCCATCATCTTTAACCGTAGCAACTCTTTTTAGCCATTTTAGCTGCACCAGTTTTTAACGTAGTTTGGTGAATTCCACAGACTTTTATTTGCCAAGATTTAGTCGTGAAGTTCCAACTTAGAGGCCAAAAAAAAAAAAAATACAGAATAATGTAACGAATCAAACCTTCTTTTTGAAGGGAATTTTTTCATCAAAAAGCTTGGTTACTAGTACAGACAATGAGAGATTTTGTCTAAAATTCGCTGTCGTAGTAAGGTGATTGGAACTCGAATCTGCCTCTCCAGACGTGCTCTCTCCGGATACTTTCCTCTCATCAATTCCTGAACAAAACCTAATTTAATTTCACCAAATAAAAGGAAAAAAGAAACACGCTAAATTGAAAGGGGAAAAAAACCTGAAGAAAGACGGGCATTTTCAGCGACGTCTGGTTCCAAAGAGACGGAAATGTCGCTGCCGGAGGCGGCGGAAAGACTCCGCCGGTGATCCGCCATTGGAGATGACGATCGATGCTCTGTAAATCCTCGGACTTTTTCTCGGAAAACGAAAAGAACAAAAGCTGTAAAGCCAAAGAAGTGATGAATGGGAATGATTTAAAGCGAGATTTGGAATCGAAAGCGAAGCAAGGAGAAGAAAGCCATTGAGCTTCAAATATGCTCCTCTTTCTCGCTCTTCTATCTCTCTCTCTCTCTCTCTCTCTACAGCATTGGCGTTGCGTCAGAAGTTAAAAAGCAGGAAAAAGGAGACGAACAGATTGGAAAAGAGGATTCAAAGAAACAGGAACGCTAAGGGGAAGGTATAATCCAACAACGCAAAAGTGAGGGTGGCAAATTTAAAATAAAAATAAAAATGAAAATAAATAAAAGGAGAACTGTTAGAGGACAAGTGGAGGGAAACTAGAGTTTCAGGTGTGGAGTCGTTTGGACACGTCAATTTTGGTTTGAAACAGTTTTTTTAAACGGTCCGTACGTGGTTGGACACGATCTCAGAAGGCGCCAATATAAATACGAGCGGGCACTACCCGCTTCAGTAGGTCGGCTACTTTCTCCAACGCGGGCTTTGATAAAAAAAGCCCACGAGCATTTGGAATGAGGGCATATAAAATTTGTTGTCGTTTTTTATCAGCTCACTGTCGTTTTAGTAATTGAGAGAGATATTTTCTTTTTATTTAATCGTTGTCTGCTATTGTCGCTTTTTACGTAGCTGTCGGTTTTAAAGATATTGTCGTTTTCACGGGGAGTTAGAAAAAAAAGAAAAATTTAGGAAATCTTGTAAATTGTAATAATTATCGTCTCTATCTGTTGAGAGTCGTCGTTTTCAAGTTATTGTCGTTTACCGCAGGGGATTGAGTGAACGGAAGAATTGGGAAAATCTTTTCAAACTAAACTCTAACTCTAAAACAATAAAATCAGAAAGCACAAAACTTTTTCAATATATATTCATGGGAAAATGTCTTGGACTCAAAATTACAAGACCACTATAATTCATGAATACATATTTCCTCCTTCTGACCAACAATAGTGGTTCACCTAAGACTACCTAAAAATTAGATATTCTGTAAGCACTTCGGTAACCAAACATAATACACGTATGGAAGAAGTCATTGATATGAATACAGACATTTTATCTGAAAAAAGAAAACTTTACAGGGCCCCATTAACGGTGTTTTGTGAAGATAGAGAGAGAAAGAGTGAAGGATTTAATTTCAGCGGAAAAAGGGCATGATGCCCCATTGGTGAAGAAAACCTTCCCCAGTGGTGACTTCTAGCACCAAAAGAACAAGCACTGCCAGCATTGCAGCTCTTCCATTCCAGGTTTCGGCACTTTTCGTCCAACCCCATTCCCATACCGTCACTGGTGGTGGTAGCTCTCTGCGTTGTGAATCATACGCTGCTAATAACTCTTCCACACTACCAAGTGGAACCAACGACTGCAAAATAGACATCAAACCAGCAATCAGAGTTGAGAAGTGACTGAATATAAACATTAGTTTCATCCCCAGGATAATGAAATGGATAAATAGATTACTTTCATACATAGCAGCAGCACCAAGAAATTACGTGAACAAAGATATTTTCTGTATTTAGTCTCTCATGATCTCATCACTACTAGAAGAGATAAATACCTAATCACTCTGGGAATTACTCAGTTTAAATAGGAAAGAGTTCATAGAGGTACCTGTCGAGCTTCGAGGTTAGAGACTGCCATGGCTCCAACATATGGGAGACTCTCAATCACCGCATCTGCCAAATCTGAAATAAAGGTGGGTTCACATCCTAATGCAGGAACGCGCCCCCAATTTTCTACGCCAGATTCTAGAGCCAATTCTTTGTACTCAACATCGATTTCTTCTAGAGTTTCGATGTGCTCACTTACAAAGCTGCAAATCAAGCGTCAGAACTTTCAGCACAAAGAGGAAGTTTCTTGACTCAAATATGTCGACTTTGCGTGAGATTGAGAGCGAGAGAGAGCTCCATAGGTAGAGCAACATCTAAGGAGCAAAGAAAAGACTGACAATAACAATTACCTAATTGGTACAGCGAGCAGATTTTTCACTCCTTTTTTGCCAAGGTCAATTATCGTCTCATCTGTGTAGGGTTTCAACCATTCCACAGGTCCAACTCTGCTCTGTAAGAACATTCACCAACTATCAACCAAAGTCGCAAATAGAATCATGGATATAGCACAAGAGATAGTGAGACGCGATACTAATCACTAAACTATATACATGTAACAAGTTCCTCCAATTCTAAGTGGTGTCATTACCGAGAATAGTGTAAAAATTTCATAGTCGGAGAACCAAACGCTTGCTTATTTCCTAGTAATAATTTTCAGAAAATGAATAATTAACCAATCCCCACAATCATAAAAGTATGGAGGGAAAGA